TACTAATGGATTTTTTTAATATATTTCCAACATATTCGTGGAATAAATCGATATTCTTTTCAGCTACTAACAAAAAAAATTTATTTTAAAAACATTTTTCAAAAATATATTTCAATCATAAAGAAAAAAATGTGAAACAAATGTGTAATTATTAGAAAAATTACATCTACTTATGTTTAATCAAGAAATAGGATATCACAAAACTATAAAAAATAATAATAATAAAACCGTAAAGACTCAATTATTTAGGATCATTATTGATATCAACAAAAAAATCACAAGAGTATTTATATTTATTTTAGATTTTTCTCTACTTCTACAAAACTATATACTATTCCAAAATATATCTTAAGCAATTATCTAAAAGAGGGGTTCATAAGCTACGTTGGTAGATATCATAGACTTTTAGCATTAGAGACATTTCTTGTTCTTCAAAGATTAACCTTTCGATCGAGAATTGAACTTCTCAAACAAATACTTCGTATATTTATAAACTCTACTGAATGCATAAAGACTTACTCGGTTTTCACTTGGTGGGAGAGTGGAGACACCGATCACTACTTGACTTGTTGCCATCTGTTTACTAGGATTAGTTGTGTTTAAAATCCTTGAGCTTCACTCTCCTTTTATAGTGAGTTCGGAACCATATTATAAAAAGTCAACTTTTTATGGTCAACTTATCTAATTAAGTGTACATTTAACAATCGACTAAGAGGAGATAAGTACCAAGTCATCTTTACAAGGTCAATTAGACAAGTATACTACTAGAGACTACCCAACTAATGAGGTTTATTGAAGACAACCGGTTGGATTTCTATAAGCAACGAAGGCAAAGTCAAGGATGACTTTATAGGCGTTTCGGATTAAGATACCTATTAATCTGATTTAAGATTGGAGTAAGAGTGACGGAGCTTGAAATCATTTCCTACTTCAGCTGGATTAAGATACTTGTTAGTCAAATCTACATGTGAGAAAGTGGTTAGCCTGAGTGAAGGGATGAATTAGGATAATTTGGGTGAATAATCTAAACATGAATGTTGCCAGAGGAGGTAAAGAAAGGCAACTAAAGAGAAGGGTCATTTTCCCAATATCTCTAAAATACTAACCATATAACCAACCACATCTTAACGAGAAGTAAAGTTGATTCATGAGAGATGGTGGGTGTCGCACGTCTCTGTAAACAATGAGATGTGATCCTTCTGAGGGTTTGGACAAACATACCATCAAACAGTTTGATAGGTCAATGAAGAGCTTGATGGGTGGTACAATTTTGGAAAATGGGTTTGATCACATCAAAGGCAGAGAAAGAGGAACGAATGTGAGGATTCATTCTCTGATTTGGCAGATGTCCTCTAAGATTCGTTGACACAAAAAGCTATTAGCATCTTACCTTTGTTCATTTCCACAAAATCAACATATGAAATGCTTCTTTTTGTGGAAAATGGAGGGCAGGATAAGAGACTAAAGATCAAAATCAATAACCAACATAATGGAAAAAGAGGAGGGAGGAGGGACACTACCTGTATCAACTTCAGCTTTGGATCATGCCACATTCCTATTGTCGTTAGGGCCTGAAGCTGATGTACAGATTTCTCTCACATTTAATATCTCCAGTTCACTGGGACATCATAAAATGAGACAAATTAATATAAGGAATTATACTGGTGAGAATGCAATACATCAAGAACGGGTATATTGTAAGTACCATCAAGATGTATTAGTAGGAGACGAATTCAATTTACCACTATGGCGGATCGTTTTTGCCCCTGCAGCAACTGCCGGAGTTGATGATACCCATGACGGTAGTGCTCCAGTGAGAAGCAGAGACCTCCCTCTTCCCCTCGGCACCATCAGATACGGCAGCCTTCTGTCTGTCCAACTCTCTTCAAGCTCTTTCATTCTAGACTTCCGATCTGAACTTGGCCTTCTCGTGTCCTCGATCTCCATGATGAGCTTCGCGTGTCCTAAATGCAACTGATGCAGGTGCTGATCCAACTGCAAGAGAATCCACCTGAGAAGCAAGCCCGCCCTTCTCAGTTGTCAGCAAGTCAACTTTAGCTTCAAAAGAATAGAATATGCGTATCTTTCTCATCACATTCTTGAGTTTTGTCAGCCTCGAGCTGCCTCATCTGATGATTCAGGATGACACCCTTGGCCTCGAGGAAAGCATTGGACTGAGATAGAGTAAGGACTTCTGCTTCAAGTGATGATTTCTCCCTCGAGATTTTGTCGACAGAACTTGTAGTGGAGGCTTTCGGTTCCTGAATCACATTTTCCTGCTCAGCAAATATGGGCCTCAAGTATTAACTTCTCCTGCAACTTCTTTTCTGCTTCTTCTTTTAGTTCCAAGTTGACACCTTCAAGATCTAAAATTCCAGCTTCAAGGCTGGACTTCTCCTGATCAAACTTTTCTCTTGCATTGATTAGTTCTCGTTTACATTCTTCAATCTTGAATGCATGATTTAATAGCTCAACCTCATACTGCATAGCAGCAATTTCTGCTGCTCCCTTTAGATCCTCAGTTTCTTTCACAAGACCGAATACTTTATTCTGCAACATGACACAGTGTTCCTCCAAGTCAAAAACCTTCTTCTTTTCCAAATTGAGCTCTGTAGCCTTAGTTCCTGAAGAAGCATTAGTGCCCTCAAGTTTCTCTTTGAGGTCCGCAATCTCTGTTTCTGCATTGCAGAATTTCTCATTTGCAGTTGAAAGCTGTTCCTCTAGAGATAAGATCTTAGAACTGCAGTGGTCATGGTAGCTTTTCTCTTCTTGTACCTTGAGTTTCTCCCTCGACTCATGAAGCTCATCCTCTAGTTCATGTACTCTCTGGTGCAACCTAGAAGAAATTTCATCACCATTTAGCTCATTGGCAATGAGATTACAAATTGTATGCTAACAGGAAAGTGTGGAATATGACTTAATACTGCATTTGGAGATAGCTAATTGATTCAGGTTTGCATTTTTTTTTCCCAAATGATGAATTTAGATGTACAGTGGCACATAATTTAAGCAATTTCATGGGATTAAAAAGCCAAGAACTAAGAGGCAGATTAAAAAAAACTCAAATCAAGAATAATTAAATGACATTAGGGCTTCTTGTGGAAAATTCTCAAATGAACTTGGTAGTTTCGACAATTCAACATTTTTTTCAACATAGCTGGAATTAACTCTTGTGGAGACAACAGAAATAGTAACCTTAATGAATGAGTTGTTAAATAAAAGAAGAAAAAAATCAGATGATATAAGTGCCAAAGAGTGAGACTGTGTTCCCACATTGCATCAATGGAAAAGAACATCATGTGAGAAGGCAAAAACATTGAAGCACTTAGCCAGATTTCTCTTACACCACTATATGAATGGTATGGTTCAGAAAAAATATAGTTTTTTTGGTAAATGCAAAACCCCTCAAGACAGATTCCATCACTAGATACAAGCATATGAAGGTGATCCAAAGTTCTCCAATTATAAGGCCTGATAGATCCGCTCTTGGTCAATGCATAGTTGCAAAACAGATCCGAACAACTGAACAAGGCAACACTGGAAGACACACCCATTATGAGCAAAGCTAACCTTGTGAAACTCAAATCCCACTTTGAGCCACTAGCTGTTGCCCCTTGTCTCTTTCTTTTCATCTTTTCTGATCAATTTGCAGCCTTTTTATACATCCTTTTCACACCAAGATTTACATTCTTCTTTTAATTTTGTTAGAAAAGTGAAGAGGAACTTTCAAAAAAAAAAAAGAATTTTTTATATATCAAAATCATGTCTCCATATACTTCTTGACATCAACAAAAGAGAGAAAAAAAAGATAAAAGCTGCATGAAATTAAATACCACCTAAAAGTTCATTAAATCACCCATCGGTTACCGTTCTTACCTTGAGTGGTAGGTGTATCTCCCCTCGTGGGAGAAAGGTGTGGGGTTTAATTCCCATATTGTGGATTATACGTTCTTCTTGTGGATATGATTGATAACCCCTCCGTGAACAATGAGCTTGAATAGGCCTAATGGATCATTTTGTACCATAATTGCAGTCCAGATAGCTTCTAAACGAAAACGGCATCGACCAAGAGTTCAGAGAATCGATTCTCAGTGCAAGGGAAATTAGTGGCATCAAATTGAATGAATAAAGGGCATATCACAACTAAAAAGAAGCTACATTACATATTTCTGAAGTAAAGGAGTGAAATCGAAGGGAGAATGAGCGCCTTTGATGAACGGATGTCAAGAAGTAGAAGAATAAAGAAATGGATGTCTTACCTTAGATCGGAGCTACCGGGTGGGAGAAAATCCTCGATCCTCCTTCGCCGGAGAATCCGTCGTCGGATCCGACTGTCGGAGGGGCGGGAGAGGACTCAGAAGGACCAATGCCGAGGAAATCCACGGTGCTGAGATGAGAGGAGAAAGCTCTTCACATATTTATTGATGCGGAAGGCGGCTTCGATCTAGAATTTGAATACATGAATTGATCTAACTGCCCTCAGTTCAAGGATTATCTATGTGATTACGCGCACGGTACGACAAGGATCCGCTCAATCAACGGTTCAGATCATACGTTTGACACAGGTGGCACTTGTTCATAGACGTTGTACATAGACGTTGTAAGATTTCACTTCATCCGAGCGTCGTTGCGAGTTTCGAATTGGATGGTGGCGGTAAGAACGGCCAGGGGGCAGTTTGGGAATCAAACGTTGCTTCATGAATCATAGATGGGGCCCTTCAAAAACTAGCGTGTGACCGTAAGGATGACGTCACCACTTGACACGTATTACCACGTGCCACTGATGCCCCTATCATTCCCAGAAATGACTCCTGATACCCCTTTTTTGCATTAAAATTGAATTATTAGAGACATAGGATATGCTAATAGGGATCCCGGTTGAATTGAAAGTAAGAGGACAGGAACAATAAACTTCTTATTTCTGTAATGACGCAAATGAAATTAATTACAAAAAAGCATCCTGATTACATGTGAAATAGACATCTCAAACAAAGAGGACAGGAACAATAAACTTTTGTTGAAGTCCGACAAATTCTAATACTTTTGAAGAACAATTGTTCAGTACAGAACAAGTTGATATATCGACAATTCCATAAAAGCAATAATAAATTGAAAAGAAAACTCTTTTATCAGCAACATATATACAGAAAAAATGCAACATCTTCTCAGTAATCCTTTGGAAGTTCCCAATCATCCTCCATTTCCATTTCTCTCGTTTTCCTATGGAACTTTCTGCCACTAGAGTTTCTTCGTCTGGTGCGACCATAAATTGTTGAAGCATTTCTCCCAAAATCATAATACTCTCCTGTCTCATCTTTGGTTTTGTCTGAATTTGAAGCATCCCAAATGCCCTAGAAAGGCAGAACAAACTTTCTATGAGGAAAATGAGGGTAAAAATAACAAAACAAATAAAGCACTGGACAACAAGCAATTATGGATGGAGTGTAGTATTAATGACTGTCGCATCCAATCATGAAATTGATTTTGTTCCAAATTGTGGCCATCAGATGCATCAACTTATGTTCTTGTGGATTCAAAGGGCCTGTAGATTAGTGTCAGTCTCAAAAGGCTCTTTTTCACAGTTTCCACTTTGCATATATCTCTGGATTAAATGGTATCGTGGAGCCAATCTAAAGTATCAAGGAACAAAAAGAATACAACACCATTTTTAGGTTACAATATGAGATACGTATTTCTATTGTGTACTCCTAGAGGCACAGGTTTGAAAACTCCTACTAAATAAACATGGCTGTGAAATGTGGAGCTGTTGAAAAACAAAATCCATATAGGATAAGAGAGTCTACTAGATTTCATTACTTTATTCACGTTTGGGTTGCAATGATGTCAAACAATTTAGGGAAATAGCATCTTGCATGCAGGGAATAAATTGCATCTTCAGATTTCCCAGTGAGGACCTTCAGTCACTGGCTACATTTGACAATGCCTAAGACGTCACATCAAGGAAGCCAACACATCTCACCTTTGCTCACCTTATATATAGACAGGTCCCTCTAGTTATAGCTACAAAACAAACTTGAAGACCTTATAATGCTCGGTTCTAGGCTTCTTTCATGTGAAGTTTTGGACCATTAAGATTTGCCAAGTCTTGCAATCGTATTATTCTTGAATATATTTTATGCTTGTGATGCCTAAAAATCGACATTATATTTCGTTTATTTAGCAAGAAATAAATATTGAAATCTAAGACCTACACTTGGGTCAAACTGTATTTATGGTTAGAATAGTTGTTGTAGTCCAAGTTGAGTAAGGTCTATTATTCCATGTTGAATATCTCAATGTGCAAGTAAATTTTGGTAATGAAATATGTAAAAGTGACTAGAATCCATAACCAATTATCTCAAGTGAATTTTGTTGTTTGTTGCTCTGTACTGGCAAGAAAGATCACAATTCCAGATCTTCTTCATATAATTCCAATGGCGTATCATAGTAGTACTATATCGATCTTGTATGAAAAATTTTGTATGTCATTAGTATTTAAATTTTTAACTGAAAATCTTCCCCAGAAAAAAAAAATGGTCGCCCAATTCCTTTGTTAGTCAGTATCGTAGATGATAAATGTATAAATATGCTTATACCTTTGTTAATCTCTGTACTCGAGAAATAGCATCTTGATGTACTACGACAGTATCAGACACTACTTCAAGAACATCATCGATCAACAAACAATAAGTGCTCACCTGCATGAAAATAACATAGAGCTACTTTAAATTCTAGAGTATGATTTTGTAGACATTACGAAGAGAAAGGTTTGATCAAGCTACCAGACTAGAAGGGATAATGGACCAGCCAAACGAGTCAAGCTCAAGTGATTCCACAGCTCCTGAATTGATGTTAAAAGTATAGCCACGGACCTTATGAATACAAAAGAATGTTATGAAGTATGCAAATAAGAACTGAACATCCTAGGTGCATAAAATGTTAATATGTCTGCATTATATTCACATGAATATCACAGACTAAAAAATTACCTTACCAACGTCGTGCCGGCCTGATGTTACAACGTTGTAACCTACCTAGAAACATCAAAAAGTAAGCATTTCATGCAATACACAAGAAAACTACACAAACAAAAGGAACATCTGTGTCATGTTTATAGTACTATTACATGCCTAAAAAAATTTAGCAAATGGAGATTTTCCAGGAAAAAAAAAAAGGAAAATCAACAAGATGTTATCAGTAGTGAAAGAGTGAAAAGAACAAATGGAGGTTGTCGAAACAAATGGAGCTTGTCTAAAAGAAGAAACTGAAATGTGGCTGCAAGCAGATCAACACTAAATTCAGTTAGCCAAGGTTTTTCCATTAGTGTAAACCTCCAGTACATATATGAACTTGTTCATAGAACTTCTATGTCCTGAACAATAAGGATGGGATGCAATAAGGATCCAATGACAGAAAAGCAGTAGCTAGCAAGTTGCAGCTATCTTGGACGACTGGCCTAGATACCACTTGTACATGGATTCGGATTCTAATGTAGTTCAAGGTTACAACAATTAACACCAACGCCTTCTGTTGGCATGCCCTGTGCCTGTAATATGCTGGCACAATTGTGTTGACAGGCACAATATGGCAAGGGATCCAAATTTATGACATAAGCCAACATCAGATATAAGATTGTGCCAGCAAACCATCATCCTGGCATGGGACCAAGACAATAATTTGTAAGCATGGAAAACCAAAGAAACTACCTAAATATCAAAACCATGATTAAAACTTTCTACTCAGGAATTGCTATACCAACCAGCACAAGTCAATATTTGTCAAGCCATACCGAGCATGGAAAATCAAAGAAACTACCTAAATATCAAAACCACGGTTAAAACTTCTACTCAACAATTGCTATACCAACCAGCACAAGTCAATATTTGTCAAGCCATGCCGAATTGTGTTGTAACAAGCTGAGACATGCAAGTCATGACTGAGCCAAATTTTGGCCTGTATCTAGTGGCACCAAGAGCATGCCAGTTGGCATAGTACATATTGTGCCACAAACATATTGGCACACCCCCATGCCACAGAAAATAAAGGATGAAATATTTCTCCCATATCCTCATTAACCTAGGATAAATCCGCATCGAAGCACAAAGAATTCCAACTGACAACAATCAACACAGAGTGACAAAACAAACTAAAAAAACCCAAGCTATATTCTTCTTTTTATCAAATGAATTATTTGGAAGATGAACTATTTCAATATTTTACCACTATAGATGTTACTCCAAGAGAAGCATATTTGAAATCAACCAAGGTTTAAATCTGACCCCCCGTAAATTAAAATTCTTTCAAGCGATAATTTATTTACCAGCCAATAAATTAGAACTTGCGATACTAAAAAAGACTAGCTGAGACCAAAAGTAGCACAGCTGTATGCAATGGTCTTATAACACAAGAAACTTGTCTCTTAAGAATACAACAGGTATATTATGTGGCATGCCAAGTTCATTACTTGGCATCAGATGAAAATACTGTGTCTTGGAAAAAGTTGCTCAGTTGCCATAGACAACAGCAAGAACCTAAAAGTGGTAACCAAGAGTAGCAACATTACATAGCAAACATGATTAGAATATCATATTACATTACACTATCATATCTGGAACAGATCTAAAAAAAATCAGGCACCTAAAAAGGTTCTCAACAACAACACAACTCTAATATTTATATGCAGAAACTAAGAATTAAGAAAAGTTCAATTCTGCTTAGGAAAACCAATCCTTCATACCAAAGTCTCCAGTCCAGTGATTTTCAGTTCATTTTCCAAGACACTTTCATCCTCTACAAGCACTACATCCCCTACCTACAAAATGTAAAGCTGAATAAGAGCACATTAGATGTTAGACGATCATAATATCATCTACATGTAGGAGAGCATGGCTAACAAATGTACAGCCACCATCTTTTATCAAACTATAATTAGCTCTCATAATGCTGATAATTATGGTGTAGGAGAGATAAAGATGTGCAAGAGTCAGCCGAAGCCATAGATGAATTGTTTGTAGGGTTTCAACATATGAGAGAGGGAGGGAGGGAGAGAGCGAGAGTGACAGAACAATTTTGTGCAAGATGCAATAAGAAATAATGATCAGGAACTTCACATATTTTGGAATTCAAAGTATGAGCATGCACACGGACAGCAATTTTACCTGTCTTACATCCTCAAGAAGGAACTTCTCCATTTCTCCAGATAGTAAATTCGGTCTCACTTCAACCAAAACAACCATCCACTATAATAGATTTGAGTGGAAACCCATAAGTTAATGAACTTGAGGAGAAGAATAAGTGACTTAATCAATTATCTTTATATTATAAGAAAAAGAAGAATCAACAAATAACAAAAGAAATGATACTTTGTACACTTTTCAACCAGAAGTATCATGTTATAGTAAAAAAGAAAAAAAGAAGGGTCCAAGTTGAGAAAAGAAATGTGGTAACATAAAGGCAGCTGGCTGCCTAATTAGTCATACAGACACCGTATTTAGGCTTCATCATGAAAATCAAGAACAGTCATGAATAAAACATGTTCTATAAGCTATCACAAAGAGAAAACAAGATTCATTGATATCATCATGAAGAAAGTACTGCATTCACAAGCTAGGGTGACAAGGACAATATTGTTCTCTGACCAACTATGTTAATTTTGATTTGGATCAAATATACAATGGCATTGTAGTGTTAGAGATGTATCATGTCATTTCTTCTCTTGAAACTAGTCAGGCTTTTCTTTCCTTCTCTTTTCCTTAATTTTATAGTCTGTCTCATTTGTGTAGTTTAGGTTGGGAAATTAGTTGCAACCTAGATAAATTGCTTAGCTGGTCTCGGTGGTAGTATTTCCCTTATTCTCACAAGTATTTTAACATTTTAATTTTTCTTTTTAATTCCCTACATATTGCAGATTTAGTGACATAAATTGCATTAACTGTTCAAAATCAATCAGCAAACTGATTTTTTATATGTGAAATAACACATGCCTAGAATCATGAAATAATATCAAGTGCACGAGCACATTTTAAGTTTTAATAACTTGCATGCCTTGGGTTTCAGAACCTGATTAGATGAAATAAATTGTGTCCATCTCACCATAAATCACAATTATCCAATCAATGGAATTGCATCACGAATAAAAACAGAAATTAATACTATCCAAGGAAATAATTAAAATGGTGAAACAATAAAACTCTTTAAAATCAATGGGTGCAGCTATAGGACCAGCAATCCAAGAGCACGAGCAATAATGGACAATGAAGCATGAAGAGCATCTTCACAATAATGACGAATAATATAACTAATGATGCTTTGACTGCACATTTTTAGTATTTCGTAAGCAAAGCACACTTACTGATCTTGTATCGACCCACAGCTGTGAGACAAAACCCAAACTCTGAGCCGACTGAACGCTGATGACCTGCTTCGCTAATAAATTGGATCTTTTCATAATCTGCCTTCGACCTTTTACTCCCACCTGACTGACAAGTCTTCCCTCATCCGCAGATTCCAATTCAGTGCTTCCCCGACCTGCAGGCGGAATCAAATCCTTCTCCAGACCTCTCTTATCACTCACCATCCCCTCTTCCTTCTCCAACTCCCTCTTCAACTCAAGAAAATCAAAACTCGATGGAGTCGCAGCCTCAAAACCAACCCTTTCTTCCTCCTTCCCCGATTCCGGTGCCAAACGCGTTGCATCTCCATCACTGGAACTTATCTCGACGAACTCATCCGGAGGTTTATACTTCTTGGTCTCTTTATCACTAGAACTACCACCAATATCGAAAGAACTCGACCATATCAGCCCCTTTCTACTGCTTGGTGGCTTGAATTCGTCTCGATCCGTAGCCCTAAGGGACCAAATTCGGATCTTTCCACTGGCTACTGGATCCAAAGACCGGGAATTCGGAGGCCGTCGATTAATCCGGCCGCTGATCCTGGGCTTCGAGCCGTATATTTCGTAGGTCGAGGTCGAGAGAAGAGCGAAATCGGACATCGAGGAACCCTGGAATCGCCACAAGAGGCATCCAATTGGTAATGCCTCGAACCACAGAAGCTGGAGCTACACATCTACTGCAGCGTCTGCGGCTTACCCGTCTCAGTATGCCTCGTGATTGGTGCGGACGGTTCATGGGACCCCACTTGTGGGGCCGCTTAAGTTACTAGAAAGGTACAATAGTTCTTTTTTGGAATAAAAAATAAAAAATGATATCTCCATTAAATCCCCCTCTAAATTATATAAATAAAATAAAATCTCGGTATATCCCACAGCAAGCCATCAATCCTACACATAATTATCATTTATGGATATTGAATATCCATTACAATTCATATATAATAACTTTTTCATTAAAAGATTGAATATTATATTTACACTCAAAATTGTATGTATATTCTTGATCGGAAACTGCGAGGAGAAGGCCGAGATGATCCTCGTCTACGATCACTTGACCCGAGGGACGGTTCGCGAGCTCCTCTACGACACGCAGAAGCCGCCTCTTTCCATGGGAGCTGCGGCTTGAGATCTGCGTCGGGGCGGCACGAGGGCCGCATTACCTCCACACCGGCGCCAAGCATGCCATCCATCATCCACCGAGACGTGAAGACCACAAACATACTGTTGGACGGGAAATGGATGGCGAACGTGTCAGATTTCGGCCACTCGAAGATTGGCCGGGCGACGGACAGCACCCATGTCACCACGGTGGTGAAGGGCGGCTTCGGCTGCCTCGACCCACAGTACTACAAGAGACAACAGCTCACCGAGAAATCGGACGTTTACTTCTTCGGGGTCGTCTTGTTCGTGGTCCTGTGCGCTCGGCCAGCTCTCGATCCCAGCTTCCAAAGGAGAAAGTGAGCTTGGCGGAGTGGGCGGGGCGCTGCGCTGCCAGAGGAAGGGCGTGCTCGACCAGATCATCGATCCCTACCTGCAGGGAAAGACCACTCGGCAGTGTCTCAAGAAGTAAGAGAAGACCGCGGAGAAATGCGCTGCAGGGCAAGATCATCGATCGCTATCTGAATTTTTGGATGGATATGACGAAGATTGGCAGACATGTTTGATCTTAAGATTCAGAGAAATATATCTGCTCTTACATTTTTAATATATATGGTAATTCTTGCATGCATCTGCCGGCGCAGCGCATAGAAGTTTGGTGCATGGTGAGGTATCGGACAACCATAGAGATAAGACGATGACCGAGTCTTTGTGCTGACCCAATTTAATTACTAGGAGTGACTGACTGCACATCCACTAAATGTTGACGACCAAGTCATCGTGTTGACTCAACGCTAGTGCATTAATTTGCGAGCCCACTGGTTTCTAATTGCATCATAAAGCATTACATAGTCTAAACAAACAAAGAATATTCGAGAACTTGTGGTGGCTCCTACTTATTGCACCATGTAATATCCATCCAACACAGTAAATTAATAGAAATAATAACATCAAATGATCTAAGTGGTGCCATAAATCACGAACAAGTTGGTCTGAGAGGGCTTTGGTCAAATGATTTGGATGGATATAAACATCTCAGCCCTCCACTCCCTCATTCCATCTCAAGCAGCTCTCTCTCTCTCTCTGGGCTATGTTCTCCTCCATTTAGGTTTCCAGTGATGTTCATGCTATTTCATGCATGTTTGAAAGAAACATATTGCGTTATGTGTGTCTCTTGGAAGTTTTGATCATAAGTTCTGATGTTACTTGCAGTATGATACAAGCAGGTATTCTCTTCTATTTACATCATTTTGCATGTGAAAACCTGAGTGAGACATGATGGAAAAAGATCATTAGGGTTTGTTGTAGCTGTGCAGGTCATGTTCATGTAGCAAAGGCTACTGGATTAGACTCCTCGCCTGTGCGTCCAGCGAGGACCTTCAGCTTCGCACCTGCACACAGGTCGGGTCGGAAAGTCCGACCCGACCCCTCCGACGATTAAGTCAGTGGATGATAAAGGAGGTTTCTTTAGCTAAGTTATCTCCTCCTTTTTCTCCCTCTTCCTGATGAACGAGAGTGTATTTATAGGGAAGGTTACCGTTGTTTGATGTGCATGCCCGCGGGGAGCAGAATCGTACTTCTGGTAGCATCTGACACCGATGTTGGCGTGACGTGAGGGATTGGGCTTGAGCAGGACGTTAATGCGCCTCGGCCGGCGTTCTGGTATGTTTGATCAGGTGCTGTCGGATCGATCGAGGCGTGAGGCGTCATCTGGGGCAGCTGACGTCAGCCCGAGTCTTGTCGCCATTATCATCCTCATCACTTCCTATTCCGAGCTGTCATTCGGACGTGTCTGCTGATCCGATGGCCAATAATGTCGGCTATGAATCCTACTGCGATCTATTGCTGATGGCGAAGGAAGAAGAAGACAGCTACGAGACTTCTCTAGCAGAGATGCATCATCAAGACGTACGGCCACCGATGATTTTAGCATATTTACTCACCCTATTTGTTCCAAGCCAACGTTATATCAAAATCATCATAATTGTTCACAGATGTAACTATATATATATATATATATCGATGATATCATATGCATATAATTTACTGATATTGACAAGGAATAAGAAAGCAAATGAATCAAGGATAATGACAAGGTCTTTCCTTCTTTCGGTGGACCCCTCGATCGATATGCCTTTTGTCTCCTCTATTGCCGATCGATCCAATTATTACATCGTCCAATCCCATCAAATTAGATCATCGAACAAGTCACGTTCCATTTTGTTTTAATTTCCTACTCCAATTTTGTACGGAATTCATTAACTAAGATTAAGATTCATTTTAATTATGTTGGAGATGGATGTAAATAGAAAATTAGATTCCCGACTTGGATCTTCCGACTCAAAGGTAACCCAAACGATCTTGGCCGTTCATTTCTTCTTGATCAGAACTTTCCCAGGGTAAGTATTTGGGTTCGGCTCGGGGTGCCTAAACCCCAAAACATGGGCGACTGAGTCAACCTCTGTGTTGACTCCACATAGATGCTCTAAAAAATCTGCACTCTCCAATCTCCATCAAGTATTTATTAGATTTCATGTGACCAAAATTTCATTTTCCTTTATATATAAATATATATGTATTCATTTCAATATTTAAATTTAAATATTAAACAAAAAGAGGAAAAATGAAAAATTATTAATTTATAGGATTACTTAACTCAAATTTATATGAAGAAATACAAAAATCACTAATTTTCGATTACTTATTTTATGCTTTTATTCTTTTCATATATATTATCCATTTGCGTTGACTCGGCTCCAAAGCATCAGAACGTCCGCACACATCATTTTCGATCACGAATTATTTACTACAATTATCTACACGGTATAAAAAATTATCTGTGCGTTTGGTTTTCGATCGTTTCTGTGGAAAAAATGAGCAATTTTGAAATAAATAATAATATATTTGGGATTAAAAAGTATTTAATAATATTCTATAATGGCGGCTTTATGTAGTATTTAATGGAAGAGAAGTATCAGCGTTGGGGAGCGGTTGATGGCAATAAACTTCCGTCTTTCCGTGTCCCTCCTCGCGGTTCCTTGAGGTACTCTCGCAGCCGTCTCGCTACTCTTCTCTTTTTCGGGTTCTTGCATGGGATTTTGATGCGTCTCTGGTGGTGTTAGGTGTTTCATTCCTGCTTTTTCTTGAAGGTTATAGCTGAACATCTTGTGTTGGGTGAAATTTTTGGCTTGATTTGTGTTTTGTCTGTGTGGATGTTGGATGATTTCTCTTTTTTCAGGGAATTAGGGAGAGTGGAGTGAAGCCACTCGAGTTCTTCGTTAAAAATCCCATCTTTGATTGATCTAGTGTCTGTTCCCCTTATTCTAGAAGCTGATTCGCAGAATTTGCTGTGTTGATCTTTGATGCTCCAAAAATTCCTTTTTCGGAGGTGCCCTCTCTGTTGATCCTGCAGTGGAGTGGAACAAAGATCTGGTCTTGTTCAAGATTTCGACCTCTTCCCTATGAAGAACCACTGGATCCCTGCTTCTGCCCTTGTCTGGGGCTTCGTCTTGTTGTTGGCAGTAGCTGCAGTCCTGGTGGCTGCCCAGAACTCCACCTATAAGCCGCGGGATCACATCCTCCTGAACTGCGGCGCCTCAGGGCAGGTCACTGACCTCGATGGACTAAATTGGACCGGCGATGCCGGATCCAAGTACGCGCCCTCTTTGAACGGTGGTGGCTCCGCAGCACGGCAAGATCCGTCGGTTTCCTCAGTGCCCTACTTGACCGCCCGGGTCTTCACTTCTCCCTACACCTACACCTTTCCCCTCGGTGCTGGCCGGATATTTATCCGCCTTCATTTCTATCCTACCACCTACTCCAACCATTCCGCATCAGATGCCTTCTTCTCTGTCACGTCTGGCCATTACACCTTTCTACAAAACTTTAGTGCCTCTCTGACTGCCGATGCTCTAAATTTCGCTTACTTTAGTCTTGAATACTCCGTCAATGTCTCCACCGGCGGCCTCAACCTCACTTTTACCCCATCGACCACCCATGCGAACTCTTACGCCTTTATAAACGGCATCGAGATTGTATCAATCCCCGACTTCTTTAGCTCTGCAAGTCCTGTGCTTGTTAATGGTGGTGACTCGTTCCCGTTCCCGATTGATCCTGACCAGGCTCTCCAGACTGTTTACCGGTTCAATGTGGGAGGGCAAGCGATTTCCCCCGTAAGAGACTCAGGCTTATTCCGCTCTTGGGATGATGACACACCGTACATCTATGGTGCTGCATTTGGCGTGTCTTACTCTGCCGATCCCAATGTTACCATCGAATACACGGCGGCTGTGCCAAACTACATTGCGCCATCAACTGTCTACTCTACGGCAAGGTCAATGGGCCCAAATGCACAGGTGAACTTGCGCTACAACCTTTCGTGGATTCTCACGGTGGATGCTGGCTTCTATTACCTTGTGCGGCTACATTTCTGTGAGATCCAGTATCCAATAACCAAGATTAACCAGAGAGCCTTCGATATCTACCTTAATAACCTGACTGCACAGGAAGAAGCTGATGTCATTGTTTGGAGTGGGGGAATAGGTATTCCCGTTTACAAAGACTACGTGGTGATACTAAGTGGA